GGTGAAGGAGAAGGTGGTGGTGGAGGTGGAGGAGGAGGGGAGTGGTGGAGGAGGTGGAGGTGTTGGTGGAGGAGGAAGGAGGTGGTGGTGGTGGTGGGGTTTAGGGTGGGGTGGTGGAGGTGGAGGAGGGAGGTGGTGGAGGTGGTGGTGGTTAAGGGGTGGTGGAGGGGGTGGGGGAGGAGCAGGAGGTGTGTGGTGGTGGATGGAGGAGGTGGAGGTGGTGGAGGTGGTGGTGCTCCCGGGGGATCCCGCCTAGAGGGCTTGGCTGGGGGCAGCTGGCGGGGCTCGGTGTGCGCATTGTGAGACCGCGAGTTGCGTGGCTACAAGTGCCGGACAGCCGGGTGGATTGCAGCCTGAGTGTGCAGGTGGCGAACAGCCGACACACCAGCAGCTAGTGGTGTTGTGGGCATGGTGTTGGAGGAAGAAGCAGCGAATGGAGGAAGAAGAAGAAGGAAGGAAGAAGAACGGGAGGAGAGAAGAGGAATAAGAAGACGGAAAGAAGAAGAAGAAGAAAAGAAGAAGCAGAAGACGAAAAGTAAAGCAGACGAAGAAGAAGAAGGAATGAAGAAGCGCGAACGCAGACAGACGAAGAAAGAAGAAGAAGAAGAAGAAGCATGAAGCATGGAAGAAGAAGATGAACAGAAAAGACAGAGAAGAAGAAGAAGAAGAAGACGACGGCACGCAGAAGCACGCACCTCGACAGTCAGTCAGACAAGCAGCGAGCCGCCCAGCTCGCCAGCCGCAGCCTACTCCTTCCCTCCGCTCCTTCCTCCTCCTCCTCCTTCCTCCTCCTACCTCCCCTTCCGCCTACTCTCTCCTCCCTCCTCTCTCCTCCTCCTCATCCTCTCCTCCTCCTCCTCCCTCCTCCTCCTCTCCTCCTCTCCCTCACTTCCCTCTCCTCCTCCTCCTCCTCTCTCTACTCCTCCTCCTCCTCCTCCTCCTCCTCCTCCTCCCCCTCACCACCGTCGCCACGGGCATCACCATCACCACCATGAGTTTCGTTCTGAAGCTGGCTCTGGGGGGAAGCAGACGATCGAGGCGCCCCGGACGGACGGGGGGGGGGGGGGAAACGGTCAGGTGCCAGTTCAGAGGGTGGCCAGCTTTTGTGTCCGGTGAGGCCGTGAAGTGAGGTATGTGGAGGAGAGGTTGGATCATGTGGTCGTAAATTCGGACTGGGACCCTATGAGCCGGACGTCCTGACGGATACCCGCCAGGTGCATGTTTACCCAAGGACTGGGAGAAGGCTGACCGATGAAGCAAGCCGGAACTTTCCGAACTTGTCTCGCGAGACGTAAAGCAAGCAAAAACCGTGGTCATCCTCCTCTCTCTCTCCTGCTCTTCCCTCTTGGGCTTCACGCCTTGGACCTGGTGGGTGTAACCGCATGACATGGATGAGACCCTATGCGTGGTGCCCCAAGACAGGTCCCTACGGGTGCCAACCTGGTGGGTCGAATTCCTAGCCATGTAACGCACGGAGACCGCACAATCTGAAATACACATTCCCCGCAAAACAAGCGCTTCACATCATAAAACTGAGCCGTGCGGCGCACGGGTGGACGCCAAATGTCAATTTCAATTATACATTTTAGCAAAATATCAAGCGTTTGACATAAGGAGGTCTGATACGCATGAAACTGCATCTTTCGCATCCTTATTTGATCTTGATCTTCAGGTCGCTGGGACAGGTTTGCGGAGGTTCAGGGGGGATGTGGAGCCAAGAACGTCAAAGACGGTGATCAAACCTGCATTTCGGTTTGCATTGCAGTCTGATTTGCGCTGCAGTTGTTGTGCGCTGCAGTTGGACCGCATCTCTACAAGTTTGGGGGGCGAGTTCGGGGCCGAAAGCGCAAGCGACGGTGATCAGATATACAATTCTCTGTACATTGCAAGAGTCTTTGGCGCTGCTTCGCGTCCTTGCCCAAGCTTGAGCTGAGGTAAAGGTCGCCGGGACAAGTTTGAGGAGATTCAGAAGACGTGTGCAGTCCAGAGCGTCAACGACGGTTATCAGAAATATAGCTTGTGTTGCATTGTAGCTGTGTAAACTGCCCCGCTGCAGTTAATTGCATCGCATGTGATGTGTACTGCTGTCTTCCATTGCCGTCTTCTGTGGCACTCCCTTGTTTTGCAGTGCAGATGTTTCGCACTCTTGTTTGAGCTTGAGCTTGAGGACGCCGAGCCAGGTTTCAGGAGCTTCAGGAAACATGTGGAGCCCATGTTTCCACTGCATGGTTTTGCGCTGTTCTTAGGGTTGAACTCGTGGTTCGTCGTTTCAGACACTGTACCGCTGGCGCCAAAGACTCATCAACTTGGCCGTAGATGTTTTCCTGGTTTTGTGCTTATCTGTCGTATGTTGTCAGCATCTCTGCTTGGGCCCATCTTGTAGTCCTCGTGGACCCTCCGAGCGAACTTGAGCATAGGATTCCAAACTCCGCGTGCGAATTATCAGAAGCCCTATCGGAGCCATCTTTACTCAACAGCCTGGCTCCTGTCCTAGCCTGTCTTAAGGCCACCTGTAACGCTTGCGGCGAAGGACTGGCATGTTTTATGGAAGCCACGCTAGCCTGTTTCGTTGCACCTGTTCTATTTCACTGCGTTCTTGTGCGCTGCCTGATTTTGCTTTCAGCATCGGCACTTGGACTTGGACCTGGCATTCGTCGCGGATTTTGTTCACCGCTAGCGGCACAAATCCCGCATGTTGGCATTTGGGAAAAACTACATTTGCTTATTTGCAAACGTGTTAGACCGATTCTCAAAGCCGTCTGTACCACTGGCGGCAAAGGACCAGCATGATTGGTTGAAGCCACGCAGGATTGCCTGTGCATTTTCTTTTGTTTCTGCGTTATGGTGCGCTGTACGTAAAAAAATCGCACCGATGCTTGAGCTTGAGCCTCATCTTATTCGCTAAGTTCGTTCACTGCTGCTTGCATGGGTGAAACATGTTTGGTGGAAACCACGCTGGTCTTTGTCGTTGCCACTGTTGCTCATTCATTAGATGGCGTTATTACTTTGCAGCCGACATCGATGGTTTCGTGCACTGCTCGCTGCATAGGCTCTTCATGGAAGCCATACTATGCGTATTGTTATACGGCTACTTTGCTTTAAAGCCCTCTGCATCTCTGCTGGGATCCATCTTGCGGTCCTGGGCCGTCCTTGGCGATCTCTCAGAGCCGCCTGCACCGCTGGCGGCATAAGGATCTCACTTTTGGTAGGCACCACGCTTGCTTTTTATTTAGCAGATTTTCTCACTGCGCTCTTGCGCCCACTGTACTAGCCCGTCCATTGCAAATGTTCTGGCGAGCTGCTCTTTATTACCTCTGCATCCGTTTAAGAGCTTGAACTTAGGACTCCTGGCTTCGTGCGGAATCGGAAGCAGTTTTGGAGCCGTCCTAGCCAGTCCTCTCGACGTCCTTGGCAATTTAGGGCAACTTGCACCGCTCTTGTCCAAGAGCAAGCAACCATTTTTCGTTGTGTTCTGATCGTCCCTGCCCGTCTGGTTGCTTCGTCCCTCCTCCCGCCTTCTCCCCTGTTTCTTTTGCGACACACTCGATGTTGGTGTCGTTCCGGTCTGGGGGACACATCTCATCCCGATCCCAATGCGATCCGATACGCGCCTTTCCGAATGTCTAACGATTCGATTCTGATTTATTGATTCGAGGGGAGTTGGCGCTGCAGGAAGGGTAGCATCTGCGAGAGCCCTTAGAGCCTCTGGGGAAAGGCGTGGAGCCTGTGAAATCCTCTGGAGGAGCCGTGGACGAGGAAGAAGACAAGGAAAAGCGTCAGCAGGACGACGAACAGCCGCAACAGAGGAGGGGAAGAAGAGGAATCCCCGTGTTCTCTGGTTCGGGCTGTGGCCTGGCAGACTGCTCCTTGCGCTACGATTGCAAATGTTCGGAGGTGGCGGATGGGGAGATGAGGGAGGTAAGGGGCCTCTTGTACTTGCCCGATCATCATCTAATGTCACGCTGCCCTGCGTGAGTCTGCTGGCGAGGGAGATCGGGCGGAGGGCGCCACCTCCGCTGCACTGACGCCCCTCGTGCGTGTGCGCCCGCGGACTGCCAAAGAAGGAGAAATAATCAAAGGAGGGAGGGAAGGTAGCGATGGGGCTGATCGAAGGGCATATATCAGTTCGTCTGACCCGAAGCAGAAATAGCCACGGGGACCTAACAACTGTTCGCGTCAAGTGACACTGAATATGGACAGGACCACGTGCTCCTCCGCCTCTTTCCCCACTACAACTCACTCGCAAAGCATTCGCGGATGGACTGGTGCGGGCAAGCGAAACGTGAAGCGTCAAGAGCTGGAAATCCTGCAACAGGTATGGACGATCGGCAGGTTGACTGCAGCGTCTCGCGCTTGCTAACGAAGGCAACGATCAATCCCGCAGAAAATGATCTCGACTCTACCGATCAGCGGCTAGCAGCACTGGCCCACGACTCGGGCGTTGGTAGAACTGGGTTTCATGGAACCTGGTTTAGTGATCTGTACCGGGGGCGCCCCTCCGTCCCATGTCCACTAACCGGAACTGCCATCACCCGAAAAAAACACCAGCTATGGCAAACCTGGTTTAGTGATTCTGGCCAATTCGAGGGCTCCGGGGCCCTACCACTAACCGGGTCCCCTTACCCCGGTCCTGGAAATACCCGAACGACGGCCATCAGCACACCAACACAATGTAGCCTCCAGAAGCCGGCAGGCGCACGACAACCGACCGATCCACAGAACGTACCACTGAGGAGGGGGAGGGGGAGGGGGAGGGGGAGGAGGAGGAGGAGGAGGAGGGGGAGGGGGAGGAGGAGGAGAAGGAGGAGGAGGAGGAGGAGGAGGAGGAGGAGGAGGGGGGAGGGCAAGCTAGGTGCGCTCGCGTCGTATCTGACATCCTACCC